ATATCAGCGATACACTCACTTTTATTAATTAACAAAGATTATTGTAAATTATTACACATGTATCATTTCTGAAAATTATGCTTAACTGTACTAGACCACTATAAATGCTGAACATTTTTATTTTTGTTACCATTATACCATAACTTTTACCACCATTATTATTAACATTCAAAGCAGTCCGCCGCACTTTATTTGAAAAAAATATTTTTTCTAAAGCATAACGTAAATATTTGTGTCAACATTTTTTTATATTAAAATAGTTTCAGTATGATTTAAAAATTAAAATTTCACTTTAATTTTAGATTATATAAGTTTTAGCCGTCGGTATTACCTATAACACAAGCCGACAAGATTTTAACCCAATAACACGAATAGACTTTCCCAAAGGATTTTGGTGCGCTGAATTCGAATTTGAATTCAAATTCGGAAACGTACATTCTGGTTTCTGGGTTAGACGGTCGGCCAAATTGTGTCGCCCTCTGTAATCAATAATTGCGTATACGTATATTTTAACATTGATATCATCCTACATCTTATATCATTATGTCTATATAAGTCAGATTTTCCTTCCACGTCGCTATATACATAAATGCAAATTACTAATCTGTATATTGTAGCCATTTAAGTCAAGGTAATTATTACCCAGAAATTACTGAAACTAAGCCTAGTACCTACGTATTACCTAGTACCATATTTTTATTTTTGGACGGCTTTAATTAGACACACTGATGTTGATTTCGACAACCTACAAATACTTCATGGACATTATAGTTTGGATACTTAACTGCAGAGCCTTCATAAATAATTACAAGCCACGTGACCAGTAATTTTGTTTGGAAGAGTCATTTTATTTCCCTCACATTGGCTATTAAATTTCGGTAAAATTAAAACAAAAAGATCAAAATTACGTTGGTACACAACATTCTGATTCACTCGGCTCGATGGTCACAATCATTTATGTAGATTCTATACAAGGATTCTGGATTTAATTACGTTGTTGCTGAAAATTGTGTTCAGAATACAAGCTAAATACTTTTTCATGGGATATTTATATCCTCTATTCATAACAGTAAAATTACGTTTTTATTGTAGGTACGACTCTGCTATTAAAGATAATTTTGTTCTAAAAATTTGTTATTACCGTTTTGTATTGAATTAATTAATAATAATAATTCGTAATTATAGTCTCACACCCTGCGATTGAGATAAATGTACATTATATGTATATGAAAATAAACGTAAATAGTAATAAAAAGATCTTTCAAATCCAACTTTATTAGGTACTGCAGCTACAATCGTCTGAGGGCTAACGGCTTTAATAATAATTAATTTAAGATTTACATTTTCAGCCCAATAAACATTACATCACTACAGATTTGGTTCAACAAAACTAATTTCGAAGTCTTGCAACTACTAAAACTTCATGGTTTGTTCTGGATGTTAATAACTAATAAATCGATTGGAATTTGTATATGTTCTTATCTATCTTCTTTTTGTTATCGAGTACCTAAAACTCATTGGTAATAATTGTTACTATAATAATACCTATACTTTACTCGAAAATAATATATTTTAGCAAAAACTTTCCAAGAGCAATAATTATTCCACTTCCATCACCATTTCATGCTGCATAGTCCATAAATTGATTTTTCTTATGTACAAGAAATGGATATTGAATCGACCCTTAATTCATTTGAACGTTTTGTATAATAATACAAATTTTAAGTAGGTATAGGTAAAAATATGAACCGGAATTTAGAATAAAATTTATAGAATATTTATCTTTAAATATGAATGCATATTTATAAAAAAATATTAAAAACTTAATTACTCCTATACAGAGAATACTCCTATATAGTTTTTTTTTTTCAGTTAGTACTGAACATTTTCACAATTTCCAGTATCAAAACGGTTATACAAATATTCCAAGAAAACTCATATTTAATACACTTGCAGTTAAATCTTGAATATTTTTAAATTGCTCATTTAAAAGTTTTTTTGCTAGCTTGCGAAATCCTTCCCACCAAATCCATTTTCCCAGTTCCAAATTATCTCTTGCCAATACACAAGTTCATCAGACCTGCAAGATGATTATATTAGGGTTACCAGATAAATAGACAGCAAATTAATTAGGTGTCTAATTATTTATCTATGCCTAATAAAGTTTAAGTAAAAATGATATTTAGGATTGAGTTAAAATTCTGGGGGATTACAGATTAGAGTAAAATTCGTCTCTGTTGTTTAAAAAATTATGATCGTATTCGTATTAATTTTTATGGTGCACCTTCGTCTTTTTCATAAATACCTAGCATTTATTTGTTCACAAATTATATTCCTACAGTCAATATAGAATTCATTTGTTCGTTGTTCATTTATATGCTGTACCAGTTAAATTCACTTTTACTTTCTGTATTCGCCAATTTATCTAAGTTGTTCGCTAGATATTCATATTTTAAAATTATAACTGCTTGATATATCTAGGTTAGTTCTGAATTAATTTGCTCCATTATTTAGTTATACTAATTATTTATTGCTGAAAATATGGTTTACTGCCACGTGGAATCGTGAGGTAATTTTGACTGCCCGACTAATCTATCCTTATTGGGAGAGTCAATTAAAATATATCTTTCGATGATATTATACAGGATAGAACACCATTAGGTACGTAAAAACATCTACGTTACTGGTTATGGAAATATTTTAATAGATAATTTTTAACGTTTTCTTTTATGATTACGGACTATCAATGTCTTCGGAAGTACCACACCTTGTGGCTTATTGTACTGGATCTCCCGTTTTTTAAAACTTTATGAAATCTATTAACAAATTTGTCTTCTACATGTACGCAGTGTAATAAAAAGTACCATACTTTTTCTTTCCTCGAATTCCTCCATGGTAACCTGTTGTAATGGAAGAAAAATTCATGTAACATTTATGTAATATTAAATACAATCTTAAAAATATATATTGATTATACAGTAATTGATTAATTTTACTATACTTTTTATTACAGTGTGGTATCGAACAATTTACACCCATAAATAGAAGAGGATACTTTAAAAATTACAAAATCAGTACCTATCTGAAAGTGCTTCTTGTCAAAAATATTAAAGAGCTATATTTTGTACTTACACTCACAAAAAGTGTAAAATTCACACAGTTATACCTACTATTTATCTAAGTACTTATTTGCATTATGTGGCCTACTAGCCTGCTAGAAGAGATCTCCACATACACACAGACCTACAAGGTAATCACTTAGGTAATTAATCTGATTGGTTGAGCAAAAAAAGGTTAGCGTAAATTCATATTTCATTATTCGCACATTCGCAAACTCAAACTTTAAAAAAGACCATTGAACAAAACTAGTAGATTTTATAGAACTTTTATAAAATAGAAAAAAGGTAGAATCCAATAATTAATTTAATCAGGACACAATCATGATACTGTACCTTAGTTATTATATTCACTACACTGAACACAATATTCATTAGACATAAGTAACCCGAATAAAGGCCTTGCAATTTTGAACTAGTCTTGACATCAGATGACATGAAATGTGAATTGTGTGGAGATGATATAAAATGTCACAAACTAACAAAAAAACTCCTGTAGGTATGAGGGGTTTGGAAATATGAATTTTTTAAAGTAACTTTGTACTTGTTATTATATTGGAGTGTAATTAATCAATTTTAGTTCAAATATTGTCATAAATGAGTAGTCGACAATTTAACTCACAATCAGTGGTTTCAATAAATACCTACTGTTAATGTGTTTTTTATTTATAGTGTATGTTCAATTAATTTAGGATTCTTTTTGGTAAGTATGTAAAAAGTTTATGTAAACTTATAGTACGATTTGTTATCAGTGTAAACATTATTTCACGTAAGTCTCTGCTACGAGTTACCTTTTCCAATTTTTAATGGAATTCCATAAAGGAATGTGTTGCATATACAGGGTGTTTCATAATTGGATGTCAATATTGAAGGGTGTTAATCTGTGCGTGATTTTAAGACAAAAAGTTCATATAAACATAGGTCCGTTTTCGTTTTATTTTTGATATACAGGGTGATGAATATCTGTTTGTAAAATTGTTTTTTTTTAATAACTCCGAAACTAAATTAGATAGTTTTATAAAACTTAGTATGTGTAAACTAGGTGCAGAGACACGTCTTTTGCATAATAAACGAATTTTCATTTTTAACCAGTGGCGTCCCAATTAACTTCAACCTCATTATTTTGAATGAAAAAAATGATACGCCACTGCATTTTTGAAAAACAAAAATTATTGTATAAATGGTGCTTTATTTTGTAATAAAAAAGATCTCTTGAGTTTTTTTCTTATCTTGCACTGTTTTTTAGTAAAAAAATAAAGAACAACATACTAACCCACATTGAGCCAAACAGAAAGCATGATATAAAGATTACCTAGTAGGCTGTGGTTGTTGATTACTGTTGTGATTTATTAATTTTGACAGTTCAGTTCATTCAACTCAATTTTGATACTTAAAATACCTGTACAGTGTTATTTGATAATGGTTGAGTTTACTAATCAAGAGTTGGCAGACATTCATTACATGTATGGCTTGGCTGATGGCAGAGCGCCAGAGGCTAAACGATTATATCAAGAGCGTTTCCCGAATAGAGTCACACCAGATAGACGAACATTCTCAAACATACATAGAACGTTGGCTGAAACAGGTACTTTTAAGCCAAATAATCAATTAAAAGGTGCCCATCGGACTACTAGAACTCCAGAAGTTGAAGAAGCAGTTTTAAATTCAATTGATGAAAATCCTAATATTAGCACTAGACAAATTGGAAATAACTTGAATATCTCGCACATTCTAGTTTGGAGAATTCTTCACGATTTTCTGTTATACCCGTATCATATTCAACGGGTCCAAGCCTTACTTCCTCGAGATTTTCCTTTGCGAATCAACTTTTGTCAATGGTTTTTGGAGAAAATTGCGCAAAATCCCTTGTTTGACTGTGAAATAATGTTTACAGACGAAGCTAACTTCTCTAGAAACGCTATAAGAAATTTCCATAACAATCATGTTTGGGCCGAAGAAAACCCGCATGCAATTGTGAACTTTAACAATCAAGAACAATTTTCCGTGAATGTTTGGGTTGGAATTGTTGAAAATCACTTAATTGGACCTTTTTTTCTGCCACAAAGGCTAGACGGCCGTACATATCGTCGGTTTCTAGAGGAGGATTTGCCCGTATTACTTGAAGAAGTGCCACTTTTAACTAGAAATAGAATGTGGTTCATGCATGATGGTGCACCAGCTCATTTCCATCGAGAAGCAAGAGAATATTTAAATCGCACATTTCATGACCGATGGGTAGGCCGTGGTGGACCCCAACAATGGCCCCCCAGGTCCCCAGATTTGAATAGTGCGGACTTCTTCTTATGGGGGCATCTGAAAACTCTGGTTTACAACACTCCGGTTAACACTGTAGAAGACCTGAGGAATCGCATAAGAGCTTCCTGTGATGTAATAAGGAACACTGACAACATTTTTCAAAGAGTCCGCACTAATATGAGAAGAAGAGCTGAAGCATGTATCCTTGCAGGTGGAGGGCATTTTCAACAACTGATGTAATTGTTTGTTTTTTTCGTTTCACAAAATTGTTATTTGTTGATCGTCAATCGTAATTATTAATAATATTATACAATAATGTGTATAAGTTATCTAGTAAAAGAATTATTTCCATAAAATGTGTAAAAAGTACTTCATTCCACGTACAGATAATTATTGTTGTTCTTTATTTTTTTACTAAAAAACAGTGCAAGATAAGAAAAAAACTCAAGAGATCTTTTTTATTACAAAATAAAGCACCATTTATACAATAATTTTTGTTTTTCAAAAATGCAGTGGCGTATCATTTTTTTCATTCAAAATAATGAGGTTGAAGTTAATTGGGACGCCACTGGTTAAAAATGAAAATTCGTTTATTATGCAAAAGACGTGTCTCTGCACCTAGTTTACACATACTAAGTTTTATAAAACTATCTAATTGAGTTTCGGAGTTATTAAAAAAAAACAATTTTACAAACAGATATTCATCACCCTGTATATCAAAAATAAAGCGAAAACGGACCTATGTTTTTATGAACTTTTTGTCTTAAAATCACGCACAGATTAACACCCTTCAATATTGACATCCAATTATGAAACACCCTGTATATAGATTTTTATCTAAAAATATTTCACATAGAGCATATTCCACTTTGAGTATTCCCATTCCATATATTTTCCACTCGAATCGTCTGTATCTGAATCAAAAGATCTCAACTTCCAGTATTTCTTTGTAAATACTACTACCATGTGTATTTATCAATACAATAAAGAAGGATTCAAGCATTACCAACTTCGAAAATAATGGATCTCAGTAACTGACCAAAACGTCTTGGTTGTTTATACATATACTACCGATTTTATAAACTTTAATCTAAAACTTTATATAGGTATTACAACGAATTTCAAGCATTTTAAAAATGACACTAACACTAACGATGATACTGTTTATATCATGTCTAAATTAATTTTGTAACAAGTAAGAAAATATGCATATAAATGAATGGTGTTTTTTCTTAAAAAGAGGCCTAACTATGGAAGAAAAATTACGTGTTATATATTTTGGTAAAGTAAATCGAATAGCTGTGCTAAAAAAATAAATAAAAAATAATTTATACCCATTTGTGAGCGAGGGCGATATGTTATGATTTGCAATTTCTGTCTATCCTTTACCATTTTCATCAACACATTCAAATCCCTTTTTAATATCTTTCAAGTATTACTGCTTCTCCTCACTTTCTCCTCTAGCGACCATTCCCTCTTTTTCTGGTATTTCAGGTTATACATTTAACTCGATTTAACTATATCTGCCTGATCCATCCGTTAGAGGTAATGTTAAAATATTTTATTCCCCTGTCTTTATTACCTACACTCCTAAAAATTGGACTTATTTTCACTTAACTTCAATAATGTATCAATTTTTGTCCACCCGATTGTGTAAAATTTTCTTCTATTAGTAGGTATGAGTAGGTAGGTACAGGGTGATTCACTATATTTTGACCCCCCTTTAACTTTTTTGTTTTAAGAGTTATAAAAAAATGTGAAATATAAAAGTTGCATCATTTTTTTATGAATTTTTCGAAAATGATAGTAGAAAAACAAATGAAGACTAAACAAAATGGCCGCGGATGTTAACTTTGTTAAGTTAAATGGAACACCCTGTATATTTTTATATATTTGGATGGAACGTTCCCTGTAGAGCATAGCCATATAGGGTTTGTTGGGTCCATCTCTAACAATAAGCAAGATACTTTTAAAAAACGAAAAGAAGGTTTTTTATGAAGAAAATAATACATCTTGTAATTGTTAGACCTTTTTTAGGCGTTTCTAGGTTCTTTTTTCCAATTACGTAAGGATTTACAGATTTAGTTATAATATATTTTGACAGATCGGATATTGATACGGTCCAAAATGCGTAGGTATAAGTAATGTAACGAAATCTCACTAATTAGGCCGTGAGAGGTCTAACTACTCTTGGACATTCTATGGTAGATCGTGACAGTGACAAGTAGTAATGTCTTGACAACGTTGTTATTGATTGACAGTATGTATTATTATTTAATTAAAATAGGTTACACAGAAGTAGAAAATTATTTAGAATTAAAATATGTATGGAGTATGGAGAAGAACTTTGCTCTATTTTAATTCCTATAATATTTCAATTTTCTACTTCTGTGTAACCCTCTTTAATTAAATAATAATACGAACTGTCAAACAATAACAATGCTGTCATGACATTACCTGTCACTGTCACGGCCTACCATATAACATTGTCCATGAGTAATTAGGTTTCTCACGGCCTAATTAATGAGATTTAGTTACAATACGCGTTTTGGACCATATCGATGTCCAATTTGTCAAAATATATTATAACTAAATCTGTAAATCCTTACGTAATTGGAAAAAGGCACAAATGCCTGAAAAAGGTTTAACAATTACAAGTTGTCTTAATAATAATAATACGTTTATTTTCAACAGGTTAAACACCCAATTACAGAAAATTTAAAATACATAAAAATACAAACAGATATGCACGAACATATGCACTAAATTAGTGTGCGATATAACGCTATAAGAAAATAGAAATATATACGAACATAAGTAAAACTAACACAATGGTATTACCCAGACAAGGCAAGAGATTCCTTATAAATTGACAAAATATGTCCAATACTATCACGATGAATATCGCATAAAGAACAAATCTGGTTAAATATATTGGACATATTGAAAATCGGTGATCTAAGTAATACCTACATTGCTCCTACATAGGCCAATATGGAACATACGCTGTTGACGAGATTCTTGCCTTGGAATAAGATACAAAATCTGCTCTACTAATTGTGGACAATCAATTTCATCATGCAGTAGTTTATACAAAAATTTTAGAGCAGCAAAATTGCGTCTTGTATGCAGTGAGTCTATGCTAAATGTAGTAAGAAAAAGATTATAGTCAAAACCTCTCTCGGGATAATAACCATTACATTTAAAAAACATATATTTCAGACACTTGCGTTGCACCGACTCAATACGGCAAGCTGCATTCTGATAAAATGGCGACCATATGAGAGCACAATATTCCAATTTACTTCTTATAAATGAGGCATACAATGTTTTTAAAGTACTTACATCAGTGAAACAATTCCAATTTCTAATAAAATAACCTAATGTTTTGGATGCTGATGCGACAACCTGTGCAATATGTTCAGAAAAATTTAATCTTGGGTCAAAAATCACGCCTAAATCTCTGAACCTATCAGTTCTTTCCAAAGTGCTACCATTTAGAGAATAATTGTATACTATCGGATTATGTTTCATATGAAATGAAAGTAGTTTACACTTAGATATATTGAGACTCAAAAAATTTTCACTGCACCACTGACTGACAGTATTCAAAACATTTTGTAAGCTAATGCAGTCATTTAAGTTACTTATTTCCATATAAACTTTCAAATCATCAGCAAAGAGTAAGTGGCGCGAGTTTAACAATAAAGACAAATCGTTGATAAATATTAAAAATAAAAGTGGACCAAGATTTGACCCCTGCGGGACACCCGATGTGGCCAAATATTCGTTAGACTTGTATCCGCCATATTCCACAAATTGCCGCCTACTCACCAAGTAAGACCTCATCAGGGTCAATAGATTAGATGAAAACCCTATATTATCTAATTTAGCCAATAAAAGGAAATGATCAACACGATCGAATGCTTTTTGTATATCTGTATAAATAACATCAACTTGCCCCCGTCTGTCAAGTATGCTAGATATATACTGAGTGATGCATGTTAAATTTGTCACAGTTGATCTATTTTCCACAAACCCATGCTGGAAGGGGGATATTACTCGTTTTATTGAACTGTAAACATTGTCATAAATGATCGTTTCCAATAGTTTTCCAAAATTGCATAGAATAGCAATAGGTCTATAATTACTAGTTTGTGACGGGTCACCGGACTTTAATATGGGACAAATCCTAGTCAACTTCCACAAGTCAGGATACTCACAATTCTTCAATATAAGGTTAAATATTAAGCATAGTGGTGTAGCCAATGCGGAAATGCAATCTTTGACTATAAAACTTGGAACATTATCAACTCCAGATGTCATTTTATTTTTCAATTTTTTGGAAGCTTTGATGATATCATCTTC